TACGGTGCTAAAATTAATTGTGGGCTGTATGATTATATTTTGTTTAGCGAATGAAGGGGGGGGGTAGGATACCCTGCATAATCATCAAGGAAAAATTTTTTACATAAACCACCACTTACCCGATGTTCTTGGTGGTCACTGATGTGCGGATCACTATAACCCATTAATTACAAATAACCCAAAAGGCCAAAAAATTTGTTATAACTAGAAGGGTTACTTAATGGGGTGATGGATACTCTTATTTTTTCCATTCCCCCTCATTTTCGATGTCCCGTTTCACCCACCGGTTCTCTTCCGGCAGGGGCGAGGTATCCGCGGTTTTTTCCGGGGAGAACGTGGATCAATGAGCTTCACTTTCCTCGCCTCGGGGGAAAAACAAGGGCTAAAGTGTTCACTCGGAGCAAAGGGGATTATTTCACATCCCGCTTTCCCAATCAATGTTTTTTATCACGATTTCATTAAATTTTCCCAAAACGATTTAAGTCTCATAATTATTATACCATTAGAGAAACCCCTCCATTAAGATCTGAGACCCATGAGTAGTTAAAACCCAAAGGGGAATTTTCCCAGGACACGTCCTAGGACGCGTCAGTCACCTCCCACCCTTTTCACACATTTTTCCATTTTCCGGGCCGTAAATCGTTCCCTCACTCTCCCCGGAAAAAGTTACGACATTCTTATTATGAAATGGGCCTATATTAATCCTTAGGCCGCCCTGAATGCCAATTTCGTGGTTCCATGCTTCCCCGCTTCCCCACCCTTCAAAAAAATCCGCGCCTCTCCCCCCCCCACATCCCCGGGATGCGCAAGGGAAATCTTGGTTCTACTTTTTTCAAATCATTTTTTTTACCCCCTTTGACACTTTAAAACCCATTAGGCCTATGTTTCGGAAAATTTAAAAAATTTTCCCCCAATTATTTTTATTATTATTATTTTTTATTATTATTTCAAGTGTTGTCCTTTGGGTTTGAGTTATAACAGTCTTTCATGATGATGAATAACATTCAGGGTGAAAAACTTAAAACGGAGATGAATAACGCTCCTTTGGTCATAAGGTCGCAGCGTTTATTTTTTTTTTTTTTTTTTTTGGATGGCCAAAACTGCATGTTCCATTTGTTTTTGCAGATATTCCATGCCTACAGATATCCCAGACGAGGAATCTACACAATTTTAATTTCTGTTGTCTAGGATTTTGGGGGCTGGGTTCTTTACTGGTGCAGTATTTTCTGACCTGTACCAGCATCATGCCACTCCCAGTTATTACTTGTAATGTATCACCATCATCCCTCAAAGCATCATCCGCATTTTTGACACTGTCAGCTAAAGTGCTATTTAGTATTCATGGATCCTGCAGTCAGGTACTGACTTCCCGGCAGCAGCTGGACCGACACCACATCTGAAACTATTTTCACTTTCCCGACTGTTATATAAAACTCTTAATTTGTGTCTTTTGGTAAGTATGAAATAAGCTCCTTTGTTTTTCAAGCTGACCTAAACACAGTTCCCTGAAATAAAGAATATTATCAGTGCTAATAAATGAAATATTTACACATGAAATATGATACCATTTTGTACTCTACTTGTACGTCGCTGGGAAGCATTGTTACTATGTAGATATGTGTTTATGGTTGTTTTTCTCCAGTATTGGGTATACAGCTATTTATAATTTAAATTTCATGAACATCAGCTGGTAAAAAAAAAATCCTATCTCGTAACTTGGATAAATCTGATAACAGTTTGTTTAATGTACCCTGAACAGTCCTCTACATTGCTCACCGTCCTGAGCAGTCCTGTACACTGCTCACTGCCCTGAGTAGCCCTGTACACTGCACACCGCCCTGAGCAGTCCTGTACACTGCTCACCACCCTGAGCAGTGCTGTTCACTGCTTACTGCCCTGAGCAGTCCTGTACACTGCTCACTACCCTGAGTAGTCCTGTAAACTGCTCACTGCCCTGAGCAGTCCTGTACACTGCTCACTACCCTGAGCAGTCCTGTAAACTGCTCACTGCCCTGAGCAGTCCTGTACACTGCTCACCACCCTAAACATCTCTGTACACTGCTCGCTACCCTGCTCAAGACTTCTTTCCATTCCTCGTCTCTTTTATAATGTCTACAGCTCCAGGATTCACCAATAAATAAGAATATAAGAACACAAAAGAGAAGGAACACTGCAACAGGCCTACTGACCCATGCGAAGCAGGTCCATATCCCCCCGGATTAGCCCAATGACCCACCTAGTCAGGCCACTTCCACTTAAGGAAGGAGCACGGCATCCGACCTAGTAGCACAAGCTAGTCAGGTCCAACTCACACCCACCCACACCCACTCATGTGGGTGTGGTTTTAAAACTACACAACGTTTTAGCCTCTATAACTGCACTCGGGAGTTTGTTCCACTCATCCACAACACTATTACCAAACCAGTGCTTTCCTATATCGTTCCTGAATCTGAATTTTTCCAACTAAAAACCATTGCTGTGAGTCCTGTCTTGGCCGGAAATTTTCAGCACGCTATTTACATCCCCTTTATTTATTCCTGTTTTCCATTTATACACCACGATCATATCCCCCCTAATTCTACGCCTTTCGAGAGAGTGCAGATTCAGGGCCCTCAGTCTATCCTCATAGGGAAGATTTCTGATACATGGGATCTTCTTTGTCATCCTCCTCTATACGTTTTCCAGAGCATTTATATCCATTCTGTAATACTGTGACCAGAACTGTGCAGCATAATCTAAATAAGGCCTAACCAAGGATATATAGAGTTGGAAAACAACCTGAGGACCTCTATTATTTATAGTTCTAGATATGAAGCCATGGATTCCGTTAGCTTTATTGCGAACACTAATGCACTGTTGTCTTGGTTTTAGATTACTACTAACCAGAACTCCTAAATCCTTTTCGCAATCAGTAGTATTAAGATCTACATTATTTAGTTTATATGTCGCATGATTATTTTCCTGTCCAACATTTAGAACTTTGCATTTGTCTATATTAAACTGCATCTGCCACTTCTCCGACATTGCATCATTCTATTCAAATCATCCTGGAGTGCTCTAGTGTCCTCATTAGAATGAATTGGACGGCCTATTTTGGTGTCATCAGCAAATTTGCTTATGTCGCTATTTATTCCCTCATCTATGTCGTTTATGCAAACTGTGAGCAACAACGGGCCCAACACTGACCCCTGAGGAACACCGCTTGTGACGTGCCCCCATTCTGATTTCTCCCCATTTATGCAAACTCTCTGCTGCCTATTCGTCAGCCATGCCTCAACCCAGGAAAAAATTTCTCCTCCTATTCCGTGTGCGTTAAGTTTCCTCAATAGCCTCTTATGTGGAACTGTATGGAAAGCCTTACTAAAGTCCATATACACAATATCATATTCATTACCATGATCTACCTCCTCAAACACCTTAGTGAAAAAAGTTAGTAAATTCGTAAGACAGGAACGCCCCTTTGTAAAACCTTGTTGAGATTCATTAATCAATCTGTGCCTATCAAGATGGCTACGAATTGCTTCGGCAATTACTGATTCCATAAATTTTCCCACTATGGAGGTAAGGCTTATTGGTCTATAGTTCGAAGCCAAGGACCTGTCACCTGCCTTGTAAATAGGTATTACATTTGCCATTTTCCACTTATGCACTATGCCAGTTTGTAGCGATATGTTAAAAAGATTAGCCAAAGGTATGCTAAGTTCCTCTTTACATTCCTTTAACACCCTTGCAAACAGTTCATCAATGCCTGGGGATTTGTTAGGTTTTAATTTCTCTATTTGTCCGAGGACCATGTCACTAGTTACCGCAATCGTGCATAGTTTATTATCGTCCTGTTCTACATAATCTATTATTTCAGGAATATCGCTAGTATTTTCCTGGGTGAAAACCGAGAGGAAATAGGTATTGAGAATTTCACACATATCCTTATCACTGTCAGTGATCTGATCAGAGTTACTCTTAAGTGGGCCAATCTTGTCCCTAATCTTGCTTTTGTATACCTGAAAGAACCCTTTTGGGCTAGTCTTTGAATCCCTAGTGACCTTAGCCTCATAATCCCTCTTCGCTTTTCTTATTCTTTTCTTTATTTCTTTCTTTAATTGAATATATTTATTTCTTAACTGCCCATCCCCTCTTTTGATACGCCTATATGTGCCTCTCTTTTGAAATACTATATTTGCTGTGGTTTCCAGACAATATTCATGACAAGTACCTGAGTAAGGGAGGCAGTGTTTAGCTTGTTTACCTAATCTTACACTCCCTCATTCCCTCACCTGAGTCATATGATCCAGTGAAGTGTAAACGCGGTAAGTGGAGCAAGGAAGCATAAAAAAAAGAACATAAATGGAGAATTAATTGTTATATTTATATTTTAGCTCAAATACAACTGAGAATACTTGTTCAGGAATGTACAAGTTGACCAAAAAAAAAAAAAACACTCCCTAATTTTAAACAGTTATAACATGTAACTTTATAGTAATAATTTTTCATACTTAGTAGCTTCAGCTGCAGGATTTCATTCAATTTCATGTGGTATAGGGTAGCATTAAAGGTATTCAATGTGCCCCTCTCTGGTTGCTCGGTAAACATCGATGTGATAGTCCAGTTCTGTCCAGACGCTCTGCAGAACATCTGGAGCTATAATGCGAACTGCTTCAGTGATCGAAATTTTCAGCTCCTCCAGGGTTGCAGGTAGTGGGGGTACGTAAATTGTGTTCTTCACGTACCCCCAAAGAAAGAAGTCACAAACAGGTCCGGTGACCTCTGCAAGTGGCTTGCATCTGAAGCTACTAACTGTAAAATATTATTACAATAAAGTTACATGTTATACCTGTTTGAAATCAGGGAGTGTTTTTGTGGACACCCTGTATATTACTTCAGGAACACTATAATAAGGAAGGAAAAACCTCTGAAAATATATCTGGCGTCACTGGAGGAAGGAAAAAAAGGCATAAAAAATAACTCCTTATATAGAGCAGACGAACAGTACCTTCCGCGTCATGCAGAAACTCAGCACTATTTTCCTATTAGTGTCGTTATGTTGCTTTCTGACAGTTTTCTGGTACTTTCTACACATCAGCAACACTAAGTACACCTCAACTATCTCAGCAAGTGTCAGCCAAGTAAGGGTAAGCAATATCCGCCAGACATCAGTGTCAGGAAGTGTGAGTCAGGCATCAGTGTCAGGCAGCGTCAATCAGTCACCCGCTTGCTCTGCATTGTTTACCATCACTGATGTTCCTGGAGAAGAAATATTCCAGCAGTATATACGTTATCTTACTCCCTCTCTTGATAATATGACGGACAGTGACAGTTGGCCAGCACAAAACTGGCTCACAACTAAACATGACAAGTTAGACCAAGAAGACACACCTGCTGTCACAGATGTTAGACACATGCTGCAGAGTAGACAAGTGGCCGCAGAGGCCCTCGCAGGTGTTACACAGGTGTTATTAAAAAGGAAATTATCAACTGGAGTTACCATAGAGGATTATAATAAACTCAGTCAGCTTCTACCGAATTTACTGACCTTCAGGAAGACAGAGAATCACAGGAATGGTGAAGAACAGACAGAAGAACCAACAGTCAAGAAGGTTGAAGCACACAAGGATGGAGAACCTGGTAATATATGGAGTAAAACAATGAATAACAGGTTAGGACTGAGTAGAGGAGTACTACCCTTCGTGCCGTGTGTGGTAGCTCCTTATGACGCTTCCCACGCCATCACATGCATCAACAAGAGACTAGAAAACAACAATACTTTACGCATACATTTCTTGGGTGACTCCAAAATCAGGGACGTGTTTAAGGCGCTTCTTCGTCGAACTGACAGTGAATTTAGATACATGATTCACTATTCGGTAAGTTTCGATCAATTTTTAATAATAGTATAAATTCGACATTTTTTATTTCTTTTTCTATTGCCATACATTGCAATGCACTGCGTAAGAGCCAAATTTGAAATCTTCATCCTAAATTAAGGCGTTTGCGATATATTTAAACAAATATAATTTTTTGGTCAGATGAAGTATAAAAAATTTCAGATGAGGATCACTGAATAATAATATAAATCACTCAGTAGAGCTTTCGTTTATATGACCCAAAACTTGTTGTGACTTACCTGTCCACCACGTTAAAAATAACGAGATCACATCATAAGATGTGAGGGTAAGTCTTCCGCTTTATATTATTAAACTTAATAAGGCTGGGATGTTTGAATGTCCGGGAATATAGTACAGATAATGAGAAAGAGAAGACTGCCAGTGTTATGAAATGGAAAGAAGTTGGATGCCCTGGCTCTAAGCGAAACAAAGCTAAAGGGGTAGGGGAGTTTCACTGATGAGAAATAAGGGGTATTAGGTTAGGAGTATTTGAGAGAGTTAGAAGTAAGGAGGTGGTATCAATAATGTTGAGGGATCCGTTATGGAAGGAGAAGGATTATGTGGATTAAAATAAGGGTTGGATATGAAAAGTGGGTTATAATGAGTGTGCATTCACTTGGCGAAGAAAGGAGTGTAGAAGAATGAGAGAAAATTAGGGAGATGTTAAGTGAATGTTTAGGGAGTTTTGAACAAAGTGAGAAAATTATTGTGGTAAATGACATGACTGCTAAATTGGGAGAAATGTTTATAGAGTTTGTGGTAGGTAAGTTTGGGGTGCCAGGGGAAAATGATAATGGGGGGCTTTTGACTGAATTTTGTACAGAAAGAGGTTTGGTAATAATCAATATATATTTTAAGAAAAAAAGGATAAAGTATGTGAGTTATAATACAGGGGGGAAATGAAAATAGTTTGTTGAACTATGTAATGGTGGATAAAACTCTGATTTGCAGACTTCAGGATGTACATGTTTATAGAGGGGCAACAGATATGTCAGATCATTTTTTAGTTGTAGCTACAGTGAGAGTAAAAGATAGATGGGATACAAGGAGAATGGCATGAGAAAGTAAGAGTAAGAGTAAGAGTAAGTAATGGCATGAGAAAGCAAAGGTTTATAAACTAAAAGTGGCTGCAGTTAGGGTAGTATGATATAAACAACTACTGGAAAAAAGGCATGTTAATGAGAGTAAAGGCAATGAGGTTGAAGAGGTATGGGGTAAATTTAAGAATGCAGTGTTAGTGTTCAGCAGATGTTTGTAGATATAGGAGAATTGGGTGTGGAAGGGAAGAGTGATTGGTTGAAAGATGAAGTAAAGAGAGTAGTAAGAGAGGAAAAAGTTATCATTTGAGAGATTTTACAAAGTGGAAGTGATGCAAACAGGAAGGAGTATATGGAAAGAATAAGAGAGGTTAAAGAGTGGTGAAGGGATGTGTAATGAGAGCAAATGTTAGTAAGTGGATGAGTTCTGTCAACAAATTTTTTTCTTTTAGTAAGAAAAAGTTTTGGAGTGAAACTAATAAGTTGAGAAAGCCTATGGAACGAATGGATCTGACAGTTAAAAATAGAAGAGGAGAGTTATTAGATGGGGAGTTGTACATATTGGGAAGATGAAAATAAGGAAGCTCTGATTTCATGTATTGACCAGGGAGGTATAACTTAGTGTAGGAGTGAGGAAGAGCCAGATGTGAGTGTGGGAAAGGATCCATGATGCAGTGAGTAGAACGAAAGGGGGTAAAGCAACTGGGATTGATGGGATCATAATAGAAATGCTAAAAGCTGGTGGGGATATAGTTTTGGAATGGCTGGTGTATTTATTTACTAAATGTGTGAGCGAGGGGAAGGTACCTAGAGACTGGCAGAGAGGACAAAAGAGAGTGTAAGAATTACAGGGGGAATAAGCCTGTTGAGTGTACCTGGTAAGGTGTATGGTAGAACTATTATTGAAAGAATTAAGAGGAAGATGGAGAGCAGAATCACAGATGAGCAATGAGGCTTTAGGAAGAGAAGGAAATGTGTAGACCAAGTATTTACAGTGAAACATTTAAGTGAACAGTATTTAGATAAGGGATTAGAGGTTTACGTTACATTTATGGATTTGGAAAAGGCATATGATAAGGTGAATGGGGAAGCAATGTGGTAGATGTTGCAAGAGAATGGAAGAGAAAGTAGGTTACTAAAACAGTTAAGAGTTTTACGAGGATAGTGAGGCTCAGGTTGAGTATGAAGGCGAGAGGGAGATTATTTCCCTGTAAAAATAGGCCTTAAAGAGGGCTGCGTGATATCACCATGGTTGTTTAATATATTTATACATAGGGTTGTTAGAGAAGTGAATGCTCGGGTGTTGGGAAGTGGTGTGGGATTAAAAAATAAAGAATCTAAAACAAAGTGGGGGTTGACACGGTTGATTTTTGCTGATGACACTGTGCTTTTGGGAGATTCTGAAGAGAAGTTGCAGAGGTTGGTGGACGAATTTGGGAGGGCATGTAAAAGAAGGAAATTAAAACTGAGCATAGAAAAAGCAGGGTGATGAGGATAACAAAAAATTGTAGGTAATGAAAGATTGGATATCAGGTTGGAGAGAGTACGGAGGGAGTGAATGTTTTCAAATATTTGGGAGTGGACTTGTCAGCAGGCGGGTCTATGAAAAACGAGGTTAATCATAGAATTCATGAAGGGAAAATAGGTAAATGGTGCACTGAGGAGTCTATGGAGATAAAGAATGTTATCCATAGAAGCAAAGAGGGTGATGTATGAGAGTATAGTTATACCAATGTTCTTATATAGATGTGAAGCATGGGTGATGAATATCACAACAAGGAGAAGGCTGGAGGCAGTGAACATGTCGTGTCTGAGGGCAGTGTGATAAGATAAGATAAGATAAGATTTCGTTCGGATTTTTAACCCCGGAGGGTTAGCCACCCAGGATAACCCAAGAAAGTCAGTGCGTCATCGAGGACTGTCTAACTTATTTCCATTGGGGTCCTTAATCTTGTCCCCCAGGATGCGACCCACACCAGTCGACTAACACCCAGGTACCTATTTGCTGCTAGGTGAACAGGACAATAGGTGTAAGGAAACGTGTCGGAATTTCCACCCGCCGGGAATCGAACCCGGGCCCTCCGTGTGTGAAGCGGGAGCTTTAGCCACCAGACCACCGGGTGAATATTATGCAGAGAATCTGTATCTTGAAAATTAGGTGCGGGATTTCTAAAATTATTATCCAAAGTGCTGAGGAGGGGTTATTGAGATGGTCCAATTATTTAGAGAGGATGGAATGATTTGAAGGATGTATAAAGCTGTAGTGAAAGGAAAGTGGGGGAAGGGTCATCCTAGGAAAGGTTGTCAGCATAGTTGTTGAATCCCTTACATGTGTTGTATAGATTAACTGAGCATTATAGTATCATCCATGTGTTTATATAGAAGATCCCTTAGGCCTGTGACTGTATGACATCATGGGATACAGCTTGAGTGTGAGGCAAGCTACCTCGGCCTCAGTCAGCGTATAACATCCAGCTAGGCAGTGACACAGCAGGCTGGGCTCCATCTCCCATTATCACAGTCTGACAATATATATCGTTACCATCCAACTAGTGTGTCTACCTTCATCCCTCAAATCTCCTTTAAGAACCCCTTACGACAATTGGTGACAGCGGTGTGGGCGTAAAATTGATAATTGCGCCGATGTACGGAGATTTCTTTCGACCAGCAAGACGGCCATTTCCTGTCATCAGTAGGCCGACCTAGCCAGCCAGCTACCTCAGCCAGTTCCTCCCGCCCAAGCTTCTACCAGCCAGTACATTATTCACTGATCAGTCTCTTTGTATTAGTGTTTATCTGCTTATTTGCATCACTCCCGAGGGGTTGACCCGAGTTTGCAAAGTAAGCCAGCAACCAGTCTGTGGTGGGGGAGTCAGAACAACCCAGTCAGTCCAGCCTAGCCTATTCCATCCAGCTTTTGCTTGCCAAGCCAGCTTTCCACCCCTGCTGTGCTCTTCGTGAGAAGTTATCAAGCTATTCTGTGTGAAGGGTTAAGATCAGCCAGCAACAACTAACCCAGGTGTCTTACCCCAGTACTCAAGCAAGCCACATGGGTACAGTCTTCATCGCTTTGTGCTCAAGCTCCAAGCCATTCTGAGTGCTCTTTTTCATCCCTGTGGTGTTGTGGTAATTCGTGGGTTTGTTTTTAAGCCAGCTGGCTTAGAATTATCTTCGCGCCAGTGTGGGTGTCCCCAGTGAGGCTTATGCCGTTCATCTCATAGGCCCACTCACTCATCACGCGGTCTCGGTCTTAGCCCTGTTCCAGCCCACCCACCCACCCACTCGACACCGCTGCCTCAGATGCCTCACTCAGCCATTCACCCACTCACGCAACCTCTACCATTGTTTTGGTAATCTTACTACGGGTGCTAGCAACATATTTTAAGGACCACATAGGGGGTCAAGAGCTAGAGTGTGTTTGGCACCACCGTTGAAAGCCTCCTGTGTGAGTTCATCGTCGATTTAAGCGCAGATACTTCGAGTGTGGAGAGAAGTCAGTGATCGTAGCCAGCCACAAGAGGACATAAACATCCACGACCTTCTACCTAATTCTTCACCAAGTCACTACAGTGATAATATTTTCCATAGAGACATTTGCGAGTGTTGAGACATTTCTTTTGTGTTTCCAGTGATTTTTCTCTTAGTGACATTCAGTGACTCTTGATTAGACTCAGTGTTTATTATATACTGTTTGCAATAATTTTTTTCCCCTTCTTAATTCAGTGTTAATTTCTGTGCATCAATACATGTCTGTTGTGTTGTGCTTCTATTTTTTATACATTTGAAGTAAGTACCTAGTTTTTTTCCTTAGTTGTGTGTGCAACATTTGAGCAGTATAGAACTTGTGTTACACTTCACAATCATCTTGTGATCAAAGTATTCCAGTGAAGTATTTCAGTAATTTATTACCTTGTATTCTGCATCACAACTCAGTGTTGTCTGTTATATTTTCCTCCCAGTATTTGTGTATTCTTGTTTTGTTTTCTCTCTGTGTGTTGAACATTCTTGTGTTCATATTCTTTTCATGTAGCCAGTGTCTAATTTGTCTTATTTCCACAGACAATAGTGCCATTATTTTGTTCAAGCAAGATAATTATCTTTTCAAAGTTTTCACACCTCAAGTTTCATAGCAAGAAAATTCTAGTATTGTGTTTATGTTGATGTGTTGTGTTCTGCATCACTGTAAGTGTTCAAGCCTTTTTTGTTCTGTGTTTTGTATCTATTATTTTTTCATATTTCATTGAACAAATTCACTCTTAGTGCAATTTTTAAGTTCTTCTTTTAAAGTAAATTGTTCTTTTGCTTGTTAAGTGTTGCTTAAGTTGCAGTTAAGAGTTAAAGTGTTCCCTCAGTTCATTCCTTGATAATAATGTTTTCTTTTCTTGTAAACAGTGTTTTCTTGTGTGTGTAATATGTTTTTTATTATTGCACATTGACTCATTTTGCAATAATTCTTGTGCAAACATTGTGTTGTCATTAAAAAAATTTCTTGCAGAAATTTTAAGTATTGTTGTGCAATAATCTTGATTAGCAATTGTTATTTGCAGTATTGCTACAGTTTATTTCAGTGGAGTTTCATATGCTCTGTTCTGTGCATAATATTTTATTCTTTCTGTGCCATTTTATTTTATTTCAGTGAATTGTGTCCCAATTTGTTTTATTTTGCACAAGCTTTATTGAGTTCATTTTATCATTTTATTGTGTATTTCCCTGTTGCATTGAGAGTAAAGACAACTCACTGTGCCATTCATTCAATTTAAAGTAAAAGTTGAGCAAATTAGATTTGAGTAAAATTACAAATTCTCTTGATTTTCAAAGTGTTGTTTATTCAGTTAAGTATTTTCTTTGTGACTGTGAGTTTCCTTGCTTACTGTGTGACCTGTCAATTTTTTTAATTACTTATGCAGAATAGTTAAGCATTTTCTTCCCATTTAAGCTTATTGTGTCATTCTTTCTATTTTTCTTTTTTTTTTTTTTTTTGCTTTATGTCCTTCAGTAAGTTCACTGAGAACATGTCCCAGTCACTTTTGAATGTTCACTTAGTGTATCATGCCAGTCAAAGTCAATATGAATCAGTCCACAGTAACAATATTCCCTTACTGACTGAAAGACAATACCTAGCCCTTGAGCAATGTGTTTGTTCTCACAGCTTGTATCTGAGATCTGTTAAAGTGCTGCGAAATGTGAAGTTCAGATTAAGTTCCTATAGATTCGTTCATTACTTATTAACGTAGCCGAGCAGTCAGGCACTAGTAACTCTGTCACTCCCATCTGTGTTCCACCTACACCTTCAGACTTGCAGGATAGTGTTCCGTTGCCTCAAGTGCCCGGGGACACTCAGACTGCTTTGAGTGCACAGCCTATCCCTGCAATGTCTGCTAGTTCAAGTAGTAGTTTCTCCACAGGGGATGCCTTGTCAGAAAACGATTACTTGCAACTAGTAATGCCATCTCTTGTTGATGTCACATGCCGTATGCAGAAAGACGTCTCTGTTGCGGCTAGTGCTCTCACTAGAGTGTCTGTTTTTGTTCCTAATGTTCCAGATGGTGATCCCATCCTAGTTGACAGTAATCAGTGCAATGTAAGAAGTTATTTCTCGAGTAACTTTCACATGTTGTTAACGTTTGTAAGTGAAGTTTCTTTATAGCTGATACCTCGTGTCACTGTGTGCGACTCAGTTTGAATATCAGCATTGTTGACAGTGTTCATTTCTTTTTCCCTGTGCTTGCAGTGAGAGATAGTAGATTCGTTCTCCCTTGCTCATATTGCATGTTATAGTGTTATTTTTTTTTTCAACTGGGGAGAGTCATCCACTCCACCGAGTTTGTTCATTCCTCTAGTAAGAAAGAACTGATCCCTTGTGTTCTGGTGATTCGATTCCTGCTCCAGGAAGATCTTATTCTGACTGTGAAGCCACAAGCACCCATTAGTGACTTTGTAATGAGCCAAGAATTACTGTATCGAACAGCCGAGTTGGGTACTCCGAGTAGAAGAGTTTACCAGTTAGTAATTCCACAGTCACTAGTGAATGTAGCTCTACAGCTAGTTCACGATGCACCAGGTGTTGCACACCCTGGTATGGATCGTTCCGTGAAACAAGCCAGAATGAAATACTTTTGGCTATGTATGGCAACTGACATTTCAGAGTATGTTAAGAAATGTAGTGTTTGTATGCAACATAAAGGAAATGTCAATGGTCCTAATCCAATCCAAGTGTGCCGTGGGAAAGAGTTGCCCTTGATTTATTAACCAATTTTAAATGTTCCCTCCAAGGCAACAAACATCTGTGTGTTATGGTAGACCATTTCACCAGATATTGTGAGTTAGTTCCTATTGCAGATAAGACTGCTGAGACAGTAGCTAAAGCGTTTAAAGAACGCATTATCTGCAGGCATACCACCCCTAAGTCCTTAGTAACAGATAATGGAGGTGAATTCTGTATTGATATTCTTGAAAATTTGTGTACTTTGTACAAGATCTCTAAATCAACCATTGTTTCTCATCATCCTGCCAGCAATGGGTTAGCCGAACGAACCAATAAGAAAGTACTTGATGTCCTGAGAGCCACTATCAACCCCAATAGTGAAACTTGGAATGAAGTTATACCAGATGTCCAATGTGCCATAAATTCTGCTTACAATGCTTCCATAGGTGATGCTCCACATTATGCATTGTATGGTGTAGACAAGCATTTACCCTATGAGTTGTTATATTCCACTCCGAAACCCAATTACAACCCTGATGATTTCATAGCAACTCGTACAAGCATGGCTCAGAGTGTTTTTAGAAGAATCCGTGAAACACTTCATAAATCAACAGCAGAATTTACTAGAGTAACTAATAGCCGTGCTAAGCCATCAAAAGTAAAAGTAGGTTCAAGAGTAATGCTGATAAATTTGAACAAAACATCTGAAATGCCTAAGCTCGATCAAAAGTTTGTTGGCCCTTATCGAGTTGTAGAACATATCTCTGGCAATAAGTATAAGGTTAGAGAAATTAGTACTGGTAAGTACAAAGAATCGCATTTAGATCATATGAAGTTAGTATGCGATGTTGATGATATTGCTACCCAGACTAATGTGGCAGATGCTGAAAATCCTCTTGACTCTGTACCCTCCACCTCAAATACTCAGTCAGATAATCAACCTGAATGTCGTTACTCCTTGCGTACTCGACAAGTAATGAGAAACCCACAAGTATCTTTTGTAGATACTCGTTCAGCTCTCCCTCAGTCAAGGCATGTGTTAGCCATTGCAGAGAAATTCGATCCTCCCAGAGATGATAACCATTCTGCATATGTAAACCTCACCCTAGCAGAATTGGGTTTAAATGTACATAGTCTGTATAACTAGATGTCCGAGATGAAGTAAATTGTCAACTGTTTGTTATTAACTGATTAGTTCAGAATTTTTTTTTTTTCGTATTCATGTTCCCTCCGTGTTCTGAGAATTTGACAATAATGATCTGAGTGCCTTTGCTGTTAATTTCACCTTGTATATATATATATTTATTCTTCCTCAGAATCCGTAGAGTGCATGAATACAGATCGATCGATCAATTCCATTCCATATTGTTTCAATGAATTGTTCTTATAGTTTGTAATGCATTACGTTAAAAGTGATTACGTTAACACCCATTACGTAAAACTCATTTTGTTAACATCCATTATGATACCATCCATTAGTTCTAAGTTATATATGAATTTGTTATTGTATAGAATCAGTCCAGAACCACCTGCCTGTTCAGCCTATAGGATAGTAGTGTATGTCGAGACGTCCCTACGTAACATGACCGAGCTGTCAGCATAGTTGCTGAAAACCCCTTACATGTGTTGTATAGTTAACTGAGCATTATAGTATCATCCATGTGTTCATATAGAAGATCCCTTAGGCCTGTGACTGTATGACGTCACGGGATACAGCTTGAGTGTGAGGCAAGCTACCTCGGCCTCAGTCGGCGGGATAACATCCAGCTAGGGAGTGACACAGCAGGTGGGCTCCATCTCCCCTTATCACAGTCTGACAATATATAAACGTTACCATCCAAAGTGTGTCTACCTTCTCCTCAAATCTCCTTTAAGAACCCCCACGACCCGCGTTGGATGGTAAAGGTTTTAGTGTGAGAGGGGCTTAGACTTCCAGCAAGTGTGTGTGGAGTATTACAAGTGGAGGCAACTGGTTTTTACGTTCTTTACACACTGTTGGGGGTGTGTGTGTGAAGTAACATTTATGAAGAGTTCAGGGAAACCGGATAGCCAGACTTTAGTCCTGTAGGTGGGAAGTATAGTGGTGGAGATATGTTACAGTGGAGGTACTGGAGTTTACCTGGAGAGAGTTCCGGGGGTCAACGCCCCCGCGGCCCGGTCTGTGACCAGGCCTCCTGGTGGATCAGAGCCTGATCAACCAGGCTGTTGCTGCTGGCTGCACGCAAACCAACGTACGAGCCACAGCCCGGCTGGTCAGGAACCGACTTTAGGTGCTTGTCCAGTGCCAGCTTGAAGACTGCCAGGGGTCTGTTGGTAATCCCCCTTATGTGCAGGACAGTGATGGACTGAGTGATGGTGAAAGTGTTTCTTCTCATTTGGATCATCCTACCAGCGAAGGGCTCTTGATCCAAGGAACCGCAGCAACTCTATTAGGTTTAAACATTATTGTTCCCAATACTACTACTACTACTACTATTAATAATAATAATAATAATAATAATAATAATAATAATAATAATAATAATAATAATTAAAAATAATAATAATAACAATAACAACAATAACAATTAATAAATAAATAAATACTAATAATGCATGAGATACTACTGTATACTAGAGATGGTCACAGAATGCTAAGTTACATCTGGTACCGTTACAGAATGTAACTGAGCGCTGGTCAGTGGCGGAGCCGAGGCTTCAGCAGAAAGGTTTACTGTGGAGCAACATGGTAGCAACAACTTACCAATACCCACACCTACGTATTTCCTTCAGGTAATGAGTAAATCTTTGGGAATATTGGCAAACCTCGAAGTGCTTAGTAACCTGATTGATTTTTTTGTGTTGCTTGTGTTTCAACTGACCGATTCCAAATTTTCAGCGCTATTATACTGTAAACAGGGAAATGTTAATGAAACTATTGGTTAATTTAAGAATATTCTTGATTTTGGCTTCCATTCAGTGACTAGAGAATGCTTCTTCTGATTGGCTTCCAACTTTCCACACTAGTGTGTCCGGTTTACAAGAAAGTTGGGATCATAAGTGAGGTGTGTTGATGACAAGTTGCCATATTTATTTTTAAAGTTGAGAAGCATTGTTTTTCCTTAAACTGCTTTGAGTAAGCTTCTTTTGAACGACTTCAGTCTTTAATGATTTAAAAATTATATAAATAGGATTGACCCAATAAATTTACGGTTTGTACCTACAAATTTACCATTTTCCTACCATAATGAATTTTACTGTGCTGCATTCTGGCAATAATTGGTGAATACTGTTGCCACCAGTTATTGCACAGTAAAGACCCGGGCCGGGATTACCGGCGAATCAAATAGAATTGCACAGTAATATGCCTATACAGCAGGTTCGAAAAAGCCTGTTAGGTAGGCAGAACAGTGTCTGAATAGTGTTCAATTACTGTTTTTGTGTCTTTATCTACAAATCTATTGATAGTCATTGTCATAGGTTAATGTTAGTACCATTAGGACTGCTAACAATGGAATTTGTTATGTAGAAGCCTACATAGAAGTGTAGGTATAAACTGCCTCAAAAGTATTGTGATAATTATTAATTAAGGTGGTAATATGAGCAGATGTATCCCTGCAACTGGATTCTTGTTGGCAGATGATTTAAGAAAGTGATGACCAGTGATGAGCTTGATGGGAAAGCTTCGAGATATTTTATATTAAATGGATACTGCTATATAGTTCATGCAGGTTATAAAATTTATTATAACTGCATGTTTCCTCAATCAATTTGGATTCGTGTTTATTTATTTCCAGAAAATAATGAAGGATTGTGGTGACAGCGCCTGGGTCATGTTTTAGTTTAATTGTCCCATCACTGACAGAAGGAACATCAATCCTTCAATACCACGATGACCCAACTTTTTTTTTTTCTCTTCCAGATTTCATGATTTTTTCTTTACTGATTGTGTCACATTATACTCATAATGTGCACAAAATGTGGTGGAAATCGGTTGACAAAGAGATAAGAATAAAAAATAAAAGTATGGCAGCACTTTACATTATTTTTGGAGTCAATTATAAATCCTCTCAGCTTACTTTTCTTAAACAGATTATATATATTTTCAAAGAATGTCACTTCTTTATCTCACTATTTGAGTTACTATCACAAACAAAATTTAATTAGTACAAAAATTTGAATTTTGAGTTTCAAAAATTCGTTCACCGAAACCGGCTTTAATATATGACAAAACGTTGTGCAATGTGATAAAGGCGGTGATTCGGAATAATCTAAAAGAAATCATGCCATTTCGTTAATAAATGAAGGATATATAATCATTAGAAGTCTGAAAAAATCAGTAGGTTTAATTGCAGATTTTATCTGGGCGATGCTCAGTACTAGTTGAAGTTTAAGCACATCTAGTCTTCAGTCATCAGTGAAAACGACAGATAGAGGCGTAAGTTGTTGGAAGCTGCTTTAATTACCTCAACTGACTCTCCCACAAAGGTCTGAAAGCTTCACTGTTTGCAAACTTTTGTCTGAAAGATTGTTATGCATATTAGGATCTTCTGTCGTCACGCGAATACTCAGTGAGCATGAAACTATGTACCAGGAGTACTGACCCATGCTAGACAGGTCTTGCTGAAATACATAAAACTGGAGGAACACTGCCGTGGGCCTACTGGCCGAGCCTTTTCCTAAAGTCACCCAAGAAGACCCTTAAATGCCTCAGGTACTAATGAAACCCATCCCATCTTACTCATAAATTTGTCTAATCTCTTCTTAAAACTACCCAAGGTCTTAGCTTATATACCCTACTTGGCAGATTGTTCCACGAGTCGACAACTCTGAAAAAACAGTTCTTACCTACGCCATTTCTCAGTCTAAACAAAATACACCATCCTGAACCAGAAAGGTAAATTCACCAAAAAATCTAAACAGCTGAACATTACGATTTCGTAATGATACGATTGCAAACAAACCATAACACAGGTAGGAAATGAACTCGTGGCGAGTGAGTAGTAAAACTCCAAGCCAGCACGTAAGCCACTGGGCCAGCTGGATCAGTGGAGTACGCGCTGGTTTGGAGTTTCACTGCTAACTCGCCATAAGTTCAGACCTGCCTCTGGTATGTTTTTTTAAGAAGCTTGTGCCTCGTACAGAGTTAAGCAGCATTTGTTCTGTAGCTAGAACCTGTATTTTATCACTGTAAACATCTTGGTTGACTTGCTTCCTAGTTAACATATTCTTTCTAATATGTGTTATTACATCATTACTGGCTGACAATACTCTTCCATTAAGCTAGTAAAATATTCAACACGATGTGCTTACGGCAATAATTATAAAATGGTAGAAGAGGAGTATATTAATTACTCATATTTTACAGTTTCAGGACATTTATGAGTGTGACAGATGCAGAAATTATGCGCGACGATGGGTTGCGACTACTGAAGAACTGGGCTACAGACGCGGAGGATCGCCCACACCTCCTCATTGTAGGTGAGCAAATATCATGTATGTACATTCCTGTACATTGTATGTACAAGAATATTCCAACGTAATATTCCAATTTTATAATATTACGACGTAATTACGACGTAATATTACTCTATCTTAATCAGACGAACTTTTGTCTAAAAGCAAAGAAATGACTTTTCATTCCAATATCTTTTTAAAAAATGTCGCCCCTAAATGGAAAAAAAACGAGCAACGAAAACAAGTAACTTGAATGCATATTACATGTAATATTAATAACAAATAAAACGACTTACAGCATCATTGTTATCGTGTTTGTACAAATATTACTACTTATTGCTTAAAATAAATATACATTGCACATTTTCGTGCTACTTAATGGAGTCGGGTGGTGACAGTCGCGGCTCACACCAGTGATGGCGCTGCTTTAATCACCAGAAGGAGAACTGATTCACCATTATTCCACGCAACTATATGATACGCATTAGCCTTTAGTGAAAACATCCTAACTGCAGTAAATTCTTTATTGGAACAACTTTTTATCCACGAGTGGACTCTATCAAGAGCATAGCACAATGAGAAAAATCACGGTATCAGGTATATGGGGTGGAGGGAATGTCAGGAATAAACGAGGCTAGTTGTAGACTGCAGGCCTACTGGCCCTTGCTAGGTTTCCTTTTATCCAAGACAATGTGTGCTATGAGATTCGCCAGTGTGAAAATATTACAATTTTGCTTATTGTAGATGACTCCATACACCTACGTTTATTTATGTCGTTGTCTTGAAATAGCTTGGCTCTGTACTACGCTGTGACAAGGAAGATGTTACGATATTGCACATATGAATTATTGATGTTGCACATTCTATTTGATTATTATTATTATTATAATAAAAAAGAAGAGCTAAACCTGCATATTCTACAGATGTATGGGAAAACTCCTAGCAATTTCTAGCACATAATCTACAAGGAAAGCGGTAGACTTTTGTGTCCTCTGGTCCTGTGCATGTACTCGTGTTGCCTCGGATGGTAACTACAGCAATGTTCAGGTTGATGAGAAAGACATATGCAACAGTTGGGTTTTTTATTGTTAATTGAAGAGTTTCGTCTACACAGTAGGTTTCTTCAGTCATATACAGAGGCAGCAGGCGTGGTAGCGAAATAAAGATGATGTAATTAGCCCATCAACCTTGGAGAAATAGTTTTCGAGTGGTCAGTCCCTCAGCCTGGAGAAGTGTTCATCTTCATAGTCTGGAACAATATTGTACCACTTTGAACAATATTGATGATGTATTTACATGTATAGTGGTCACTGCGTTTTCTGTTTTGCCGGTCGTTTACGTACATCTTCGCTGAATGTTGCTGTGGTACTTGGCATGGACGTGTACTTTACATTTACAGGGAAATATCACGTGGCGCCCTAATTTGAGGCTGGATAAAGTGTTTTCTATGTAATGTTGTTCATCTTTAAGTAACTCGTCACTGCAGATCCACAATGCTTGAAGCCAATTAACAGTCCCTTATTGATTTTCAAGTCGTGTAAAGAGAAGTGAGTTACGTAATTCATTTTTTCTAGGATTTCGGTAGAAAACACATTTTAATTGATCTCTTTTCTCTAGTGATCCGTACATTAAAGATTCGCTGTATAGCATTAACTTTATCCTTCTAATGTGGATCACATAAAAAGCTATACCTGGTTTAGTTGCTCTTTGAAGTATTATAAGTTGAAGCGCCTAGATACGATAACTACAATGTCGTCAGAGTAACTAATCCAAGTGACACAAGAGAGAATGACGCTGAAGCGTTATTTCTCAAAATGCTCGAGGCAGATGTTGCTTTAAGCAGCACACAAAGTTGCTAAGCTAAATTTTTGCAACTTATTCACGGGTTCATAAGAGTAAAGGTTGAGCTGACACATACTTTAATTAAACTGATGATGTCAGTAGTGGGTACCTTGAAGCTTGAGTTAGCAGAATCGTGGCTATGTAAGAGGTCAAAGCCTAAGTATATAGTTACAAGTTTGAAAAGGGATATGGTGTCTCGATTTTCCAGTTCCATTTTCTTGGTGTAGATGTTTTCCAGTCAAAAGATGAGCTCATGGACATGGCGAAGGTGTGACTGCCTGATGGTTCTCAGTAATCGTGAAAGCTTTTGGCAAGTACTGGCGCCAAGTAGTGTGGATCACTGAACATACTTTAGGTACAACGTCGTGGTGGTGGTGATAGTGCATAACAAGAGAACAGAGGAGCACTGCTGGAGAGTTACTGGCTCATGGACATAGCACAAAAACACTGCTGGACGAAATCCTCACAGGATAGCATTAGCCAAATTTAGCCATCATATTTTAATTCTTCAACATGTCGGTATTATACATCATTATTATTTGAATAATTAATATAAGCTGGGTTTAGATCAGATTAAGGAGGTGTTGTTTAACTATATATTTTAATCCTTTGGCAAAATAGAACTTTCTTCCCTTCAGGAAGTGAGTTCCAAACTTTTAGGGCCCTTTATTTACATGGAGCTCCTAGATAGGTTGGGTCGTGCACTAGGTATATCAAAGAGATGCTTATTTCTTGTATTGTGCCAATGTGTTCTGTTGAATTTCTTCTACCAGGATACAATTCCTGGATGCTACATGCGGATCCTGATCTCCACAACACTGACATACTAAGCTTCTTACTGGTGATGCACCAGTTGACGGTTTCTCTGCTGGAGCAGGTAAGCATCCACATCATCTCTTTCCTCTCTCTGTAGAAATGTTCCATAATTATTTTTTGATGAACACTGAGCTGGTGTATCCACGATGGATGAAACACATCTTTGTTGAACAAGAATAATTAGTAGTACCGATCTTCAGGTGAATATTGTGAGGGAAGATGCCCATCAAAATATGAAAATAATGAACAGTTCTTCATCAACAATACAAACAAACAGTATCAAAATCCTGCTCGGTGAGAAGCTGCAAGACTGCCATGCAGAAAGTGATGCCAATTTGTTAACTGTCGACTTGTCGGTGAAGAATAAAACATAAGTGTAACACCTGGATATCTTTATTATCGAGACGTTTGCCTGCGTGCAGACATTTTCAAGGTATATACTGGAGCCAGAGGAGAGGTTCAGCAGATGAAGACAGTATCATAGGAGAGTGGGACATACTAGTGGTACTAGGTTATACTCATAAGTGAGGCCAGCAGCTGGCACAGGTACTGTGCCAACTGTACTGTAATGTCTACCAGAACAGCATCTGCACCAGGGCGATAGCACCATCTGGCACAGTCCATTTATTTTCCCATCTGTTATAGAATGCTGTCAGGTTTTCTATGAAGGCCGTTTTTATGTTTCCATCTTCTAATACCAAAGTGATTTTTTTCTACAGTTGGTTCTCATTTGGGCATACCAAAAACACTTCCCTGGTTAAATATCTCTTGTAGATGATTCCTGAATATCTGCATAAGATGTGTGGGTCCATTTCCCACGAAAGTTGCAAGTAATCCATGCAGAAGCCAGTTTGTTGCTGCGGTTGCAAGCTACACAGAGTTTCATGATATGACTTTTGTTGTTATACTGTATATTCTACTAATAACCTCCTTAAAGTATAAGTCTGTCTATTTTTATGTGTATCTTTTTCTATTTGCATGTATATGTGTACGAAACAATCTTACCGCTGCTAACAGTAACTGTTGTTTGGGTGTTTGATAATGGCGTCTACAAACCCTGTCAGCTTATGAATCCGGTCAGTGGATCACTTATTTTTGGATGAAGCCGGTCGGTGATTTTGGACTAGCTCGTGAAAGTACTACTATAATATTATTTAACAGAATAATATGTGTTCAGTTTGATACAAAAAGTATAACTTGCATGTTGTAGAAGCCGATGACCTCTGGCAGCTGCTACTATGACCAACGGCCGGTCACCTCTAGCACCTTTTTTAACAGCCTGAGGTTTTGTGCATTTGTAGATCACTGTATTTACCTTTACTAAATTTTTTCCACCTCCATCACATCAAATATTATCACTATTGTTGGCTATGGTAGGGCGGCGGGTGACGAAAAACCATCAACCTACTACCACAGGACTGTAGTACCTCCCTGGGTGGTTGCTGTCTACCAACCTACTACCACAGGACGGTAGTACCTTCCTGGGTGGTTGCTGTCTACCATCCTACTACCACAGGACGGTAGTACCTTCCTGGGTGGTTGCTGTCTACCAACCTACTACCACAGGACGGTAGTACCTCCCTGGGTGGTTGCTGTCTACCATCCTACTACCACAGGACGGTAGTACCTCCCTGGGTGGTTGCTGTCTACCAACCTACTACCACAGGAGGGTAGTACCTCCCTGGGTGGTTGCTGTCTACCAACCTACTACCACAGGACGGTAGTACCTTCCTGGGTGGTTGCTTTCTACCAACCTACTTCCACAGGACGGCAGTGCCTCCCAGGATGGTTGCTGTCTACCATCCTACTACCACAGGACGGTAGTACCTCCCTGGGTGGTTGCTGTCTACCAGCCTACTACCACAGGACGGTAGTACCTTCCTGGGTGGTTGCTTTCTACTAACCTACTGCCAAAAGACGGTAGTGCCTCCCTGGGTGGGTGCTGTCTACCATCCTACTACCACAGAACGGTAGTACCTCCCTGGGTGGTTGCTGTCTACCATCCTACTACCACAGGACGGTAGTACCTCCCTGGATGGTTGCTGTCTACCATCCTACTACCACAGGACGGTAGTACCTTCCTGGGTGGTTGCTTTCTACCAACCTACTACCACAGGACGGTAGTACCTCCCTGGGTGGTTGCTGTCTACCATCCTACTACCACAGGACGGTAGTACCTTCCTGGGTGGTTGCTGTCTACCATTCTACTACCACAGGACGGTAGTACCTTCCTGGGTGGTTGCTTTCTACCAACCTACTACCACAGGACGGTAGTACCTCCCTCGGTGGTTGCTGTCTACCAACCTACTACCACAGGACGGTAGCACCTCCCTGGGTGGTTGCTGTCTGCCAACCTACTACCACAGGACGGTAGTACCTCCCTGGGTGGTTACTGTCTACCAACCTACTACCACAGGACGGTAGTACATCCCTGGGTGGTTGCTGTCTACCATCCTACTACCACAGAACGGTAGTACCTCCCTGGGTGGTTGCTGTCTACCAACCTACTACCACAGGACGGTAGTACCTCCCTTGGGTGGTTGCTGTCTACCATCCTACTCCCACAGGACGGTAGTACCTCCCTGGGTGGTTGCTGTCTACCAACCTACTACCACAGGACGGTAGTACCTCCCTGGGTGGTTGCTGTCTACCATCCTACTCCATCAGGACGGTAGTACCTCCCTGGGTGATTGCTGTCTACCAACCTACTCCCACAGGACGGTAGTACCTCCCTGGGTGGTTGCTGTCTACCAACCTACTACCACAGGACTGTAGTACCTCCCTGGGTGGTTGCTGACTACCAACCTACTACCACAGGACGGTAGTACCTCCCTGGGTGGTTACTGTCTACCAACCTACTACCACAGGACGGTAGTACCTCCCTGGGTGGTTACTGTCTACCAACCTACTCCCACAGGACGGTAGTACCTCCCTGGGTGGTTACTGTCTACCAACCTACTACCACAGGACGGTAGTACCTCCCTGGGTGGTTGCTGTCTACCAACCTACTACCACAGGACGGAAGTACCTCCCTTGGGTGGTTGCTGTCTACCATCCTACTCCCACAGGACGGTAGTACCTCCCTGGGTGGTTGCTGTCTACCAACCTACTACCACAGGACGGTAGTACCTCCCTGGGTGGTTGCTGTCTACCATCCTACTCCCACAGGACGGTAGTACCTTCCTGGGTGATTGCTGTCTACCAACCTACTCCCACAGGACGGTAGTACCTCCCTGGGTGGTTGCTGTCTACCAACCTACTACCACAGGACGGTAGTACCTCCCTGGGTGGTTGCTGTCTACCAACCTACTACCACAGGACGGTAGTACCTTCCTGGGTGGTTACTGTCTACCAACCTACTACAACAGGACGGTAGTACCTCCCTGGGTGGTTGCTGTCTATCAACCTACTACCACAGGACGGTAGTATCTCCCTGGGTGGTTGCTGTCTACCAACCTACTCCCACAGGACGGTAGTACCTCCCTGGGTGTTTGCTGTCTACCAACCTACTACCACAGGACGGTAGTACCTCCCAGGGTGGTTGCTGTCTACCAACCTACTACCACAGGACGGTAGTACCTCCCTGGGTGGTTGCTGTCTACCATCCTACTCCCACAGGACGGTAGTACCTCCCTGGGTGGTTGCTGTCTACCAACCTACTACCACAGGACGGTAGTACCTCCCTGGGTGGTTGCTGTCTACCAACCTACTACCACAGGACGATAGTACCTCCCTGGGTGGTTACTGTCTACCAACCTACTACCACAGGAGGGTAGTACCTCCCTGGGTGGTTGCTGTCTACCAACCTACTCCTAGGTTTTCTTAAATTATAATATAGAATTGTAAAACTTGGACCTACAAAGGTTAAAATTATATAGACGCTTCCAACTAGTTAGTTATGTTGCCGTCTTAAAGCCGTCAATAAAAAAGTTCTGAAGGTATTGCATGGAAATTAATAGCACACAATTATTAATATAATTGACAAATTCCCAACAAACTGGTATAAAATTATTAATAATATTATTTACGATGTTTAAAAAATTCAGTTAATTTCACTTTTTCTATTTTTAATGTTTATTTTGATTTGCTGTATTCCAGAATGTACATTTCAGACTTTTCCAAGACTACAGATTTTTTTCACACACAATGCAGATTTCCCTCACATACATTATATATTTCTCGCATTCATTGTACATTCTCTCGCAATTTGATTTTTTTCAGATCTCGCAGAAGACGCGAGTGTTGATGCTTACCCAGAGCCGCCTCAGGTCACACGGTCATTTTAAACTGTATAACAACCGAATCGCTTTCAGCAACGCTAACTTCGACTGGAGCGACATGATGTTCCAGCAGCTGCTGCATCACTAAGAGCAA